AAGAAATTAGCACCTGAAAGCTATAAACAAGCAAATGATAGCAATCCCGACAATGTTGCAATGGGATCAATTGATGAAGTCCTCCATAACATGGACCAGAATCTTTTTCGTACCCTTCCAAAACTCTGCCAAAAGCCTAGAATGTTAGTTTGTGCTCCTTCTAATGCTGCAACTGATGAGCTTCTTGCAAGTTCTTGATCAAGGATTTATTGATGGTGAGATGAAAATATACCGTCCTGATGTGGCCCGTGTTGGGGTAGACTCTCAGACATGGGCTGTCCTGGCAGTTTCCGCTGAGCGGAGAACTGAACAACTTCTACAGAAGAACCATGATGAAATTTTTGGACATATTCAGACTTTAAAGGCTCGAGAAGCTATGTTATCCCAACAGATAGCCACTCTTCAAAGGGAACTTAATGCTGCAGCTGTTACTGTTCGGTCCCAAGGTTCTGTTGGTGTTGATCCCGATATTCTTGTTGCTCGGGATCAGAACCGAGATGTACTGTTGCAGAACCTTGCTGCAGTTGTTGAAAACAGAGATAAAGCTCTAGTCAAAATATCTCGCCTTCTCATTTTAGAACCTAAGTTCCGTGTTGGCAGTAACTTCAACTTGGAAGAAGCCCGTGCTAATCTTGAGGCAAGTTTTGCCAATGAGGCTGTGATTGTTTTCACCACTGTCTCAAGTTGTGGTCGTAAGTTGTTCTCTCGCCTTACCCATGGTTTTGATATGGTTGTAATTGATGAGGCTGCTCAAGCCAGTGAAGTTGCAGTACTTCCTTCCCTTTCTCTTCGTGCAGCAAGGTGTGTACTTGTTGGGGATCCACAACAGCTTCCTGCAACAATCATCAGCAAGGCTGCTGGGACCCTCTTGTACAGTAGAAGCCTTTTTGAAAGGTTCCAGCAAGCAGGATGCCCAACTATGTTGTTATCTGTTCAATATAGGATGCACCCCCAGATTAGGGATTTCCCATCCCGGTACTTCTATCAAGGACGTCTCATTGATAGTGAAAGTGTTGTCAGCTTACCTGATGGGTTTACTACAAGGACCCTTTACTTAAACCTTATTTATTTTATGATATTACCCATGGTCGGGAATCCCATAGAGGTGGGTCTGTTTCATATCAGAATGTGCATGAAGCAGTGTTGTGTTTGCGCTTGTATGAGTACCTACAGAAAACATCAAAATCTTTGGGCGTGCCTAAAATCACAGTGGGTATAAACACCATACAAGCTGCAATTGAAATGCATACAACGTGAGTTTGAGAGTGTTCTAAGAACAGAGGAAGGGAAAAGAGATTTATATATTAATACTGTAGAGATGCTTTCCAGGGCCAGGAACGTGATGTTATTATTATGTCTTGTGTCCGTGCCTCAAATCATGGGGTGGCCTTTGTTGCAGATATTCGTCGAATGAATGTTGCTCTTACTCGTGCCAGAAGGGCTCTGTGGGTATGAGATTCTTTCTTCTAACCTTTATATGCTATTACTTTCTAGCGTAGATCATTCTCTAAACTACCTTGTGTTTATTTTCTAGAATTGACATTAATGTTTTTACAGGTTATGGGTAATGCGAGTGCTCTGGTGCAATCTGATGACTGGGTAACCTTAATCGCTGATGCCAAAGCGAGGAATTGTTATATGGACATGGATTCTCTCCCCAAGGACTTCACAAAAGACTTGCTCCCCAAAGACTTTTCAGAGCCGAGTGGACTTGGTTATTCCCCATCACAGGGTAAGGCTGCTAACATGAGGGGTTTAAGATCTGTTGGACCAAGCATAGGTCACTCGACTTGCACATGAACTCCAGGTTAGGAACACCATCAGAAGATGAAGAGAAGTCAGGCACAATAGTATTTTCTAGGCATGGGAATTATGGCCATTTAAGTCACCGCAGACTTCTTTGGATGGTTTTCATCAGTCAGGCGACAAATCTAGAGATGCCTGGCAATATGGCATACAGAAAAATTTTGCTGGTACAATGGGGAAAAGAGATTCCTAGCAACTAATTGTTTTGTCTATGAACTTTTTTTTTTGCACATGAAGATCCTGGAAGAAGAACTTTATATATAATCCTTGCATTGAAACTTATGAAGAGCTCTTAGCTCCACAAGGATCGAAACAATTTGTAGGAAGTTGGTGCCAGGCTTATGTTTCATGATTGCTCCCAGCTGAACAAGTTGAGAGGGATATGCACAGGTCACCAATGAACTTAGCCAGTCCTCGAGATTGATTCCTGCTAGGAGGTGGATGATCTCGGGTTAGGATGTATGAAATCATACCCTAGATCCACCCACTAGCCTTTACAAGCTTCAAAGGTAAGAAATATATCATGTCCATACTATGGAACAATATTTAATGTAAAATTTCTTATGTGACGACTGTATTAATGCTGTCTAATCCAGGAATTGAATGCTGGCATCAAGTATCGTTCCGCCCAACCAAGATCCCTTTGACATTAAAATTTTCCACAATACGTGGAATGCTCGGCTGACTTCAGTTCTGGAGTGTGAATTCATTTAGACCAATCATATTCAAAGAAAGCGTTGTACATTCATCTAATCTACCGTACAAATGCTTACAAAATCGGAGGATAACTAGTGATTTGTGAAGGGGATGCATTTTCAGACTTATGTAGAGTCAACATCATTGGAAGCTGTCGTATATATTCCTTGAACGTGCAGATGCCCCAAGGTGATAAACTTTTTAGTTCTGCAGGATACGGTTTGGTTTACCTATGTATTCTTTGCTTTTGTTCCCTATCTATACTATTTAAAAAAGCAAAAGATTTGGATAGAAATAGGGCATTTCTCAAAAATTCTGTATTAGAGAAATACGGATGTTTAGGAAATCTCATGTAGCTGACCTTTGTGTGTACAGCCCCAGGTTCATCGTCTGTGGAACCAAAACGATTCTTCCCTACCTACTTGGAAAAGCTCAGCTGCTCTGGTTTCCAACTTGAAAACCATTAAAAAACGGCTCCAAGTTTCAAATGATAGCATCTACTTATCAGTTATCACCTTCTGGGATGGTGTAATTTGACTAGTTTCTTCCGAACACCGTGTCTGGTTATGTAATGCGGGAAAATAATTTATGTAGTGACTAACACGTACGTACATGCATACATCAAGTGCTTTATTTTATCATTATATTAAAACCTTTTAGTCAAAACAACTTAACAGTTTGTTCTTCTGTTCTTCTAAGATGTGCCTGCTCACAGACAGGATTGTAAAGTTGGTGGGCGTTGCTGTCCAAAACCAGGAGATTTGAAACTTTAACAAACTTGCGAAATATGCGATTTTTTTAAGATAAAATGTGTATACTATATCCAAAGAACAAATTCAATCCAAGAGTATCAAACAAAAACCCAGATACTCATCGCCCAATACCCCAATCTGTACAAAGTTGGGAGCTGAGCCTATTTCTACCATAAATTTTAGCTTAAATCGTCTCCTTAATAAAACCCACAAGTATATCACCTGTCGACTATAAATTCCTAAAGCACCTGTTATTCCTTTCCCTCCAAACAAAATAGATGAAAGCAGTCTAAGCCAAACGAAAAACAGTGGCCTTTATTGACTTACCTCGAACATGAGCGCAAGCCCAAGATACCTCGCCCTCCCAATCCAGCACCGAGCGATGAATGCAGCTAGTGGCAAGAATAATTTTCCATATCTTCAACGAGAAGGAGCATCCAAAGAAGATATGTGATCTATTCTTATCCGCAACATTACACAAAACAGACTCAAAACATTCAAACCCATAAGTTCAGCCTATCACGAGTCGACAACGGTCAAGCAAGGCCATCCAAGCGATGATGGAGTGTCTAGGTACATGCAACGCAAACCAGATTAGTTGCTGCCATAATACTCTCTCCTTTTTAGACCGAATCTCTCCCCAAACCATCTTCCTTTGGCACGCACCAGCCCCCCGCAAAGCCCCAAAAACAGAAGCTGCCTCCCCTCGATAGGAAAAGATTTTCCTCAGACTCCAGCTCGTCGATCCACTCGGTTGGAAGCTCCAAACATCGGCCCCCTTTATCACATAGGCCCGAACCCACGCAACCCACAAAGAATCGTCATCAGCAAGAAGCTTCCTAAGCAATTGGAAGAAGCAAGCATTATTCCAGCACTCCAAGTGTTTCAATCCCAACCCCCCTTCGGGTTTTAGGGAGCAAATATGCGCCCAACCAACCCTAGCACCCGAGGCCGCCACATCCTGACCCTTCCAAAAAAACCTCATGCAAAGCTGATTCACCCGATGCAAAACCGCCATGTGAATGACCAACTGCCTACACCAGAAGTTTGTGATGCTGAACAGAACCGAGAGAATTAGTTGTAATCTCCCAACAAAACTAAGCCTCCAGTTCGACCAATGATCCAGCCTGCTTTTTATGCTTTCAATCAGACTACGACAAGCAGTTGAAATAAGCGAAATTATACTATGCTGTGTTCTCTTTTCTGGCCGAATTGGAAAAAGTTACATGTTGTATTTAATCATTTAACTATCAATTTGATATCGTTTTAATTAATTATTTTTTTAAATCATATCTAATATATTATTTTAATTTTATTTTAGTCATTTCTTATTAAAAAATAAATATAATTATTGATGTAATAATTTTTTAATAATAATTTAATATTATCTTATGATGATATGTTAATATCAACGTTAATTTTTTAATGACGAAAAATAAAAATAAAATATAATTTTAAGAAGAAAATAATAATTGAATGATTGGAGTAAAATCGATAAATAAATACATAATTTATCTTAAAAAAAAAGTGAAAACAGGGTCATGACTCATGGGATGAATCTTCAAATGGCAGGAATCCTAACCTGTCCTGGTGCATTGTCTGGCTTCCCTAACTTTTTCCTGCTTGAAAAGGTCTATCCCACCCTCCAACTTATGACTTCTTTTTATTGGTTAATCCCCAGTTTCTACCTTGGTGTCCAAATAGTCCAATTAGGACAACCATTCTAGAAAAAGTTAGAAAACAAGGCTCCAGCCAAAAAAGTACAGCCTAAAAAACAAAGAAGGGGTTACCAGGCACCCCAAATTTCCCGGTTTCTAGAATTGATTGCATGAGACGACGATCCCAGTACATTAGCCCTCAAACCTACGAACCTCACCTATTTTTTAAAGCATGCCCTTTTCATGGTTGACCATTTTTTCTATGATTCTTACCATCCCAATTTACATCCCTCGGAAGTTGAAGATCCCATTCTTTATTCCAATTATTCCTTGAATCAATCAGGTTCGTTGCTCCTTTTTACCATGGCCTCTAACTTGCTTTTGGTCTATAGATCTTCACATTTTATGTACTTTGAACTGCTGCTATTTTCTGGTATCTCGCTTTCATTTATTTTTAAAGCTGATTGGACTGTTTCACGTCTGAAAACTTAAGCTAATGGATTAATTTTGTGATCACGTGAAAATTAATGTGATTTATTCACTGGTCTCTGTTTGGTCTGAAATGTTTTGGTTTAATTTATCCATCTCTGATAGGCAGATAAAGACTTCTGTTTTACATTAATTTTCTGCATTGATTCGTTGTATTGTTGGACCAACGAAAGAAGAAAGGGGTTGAGGAGTAAGTTACAAAGCTTGTTTTAACGTTGATCGCACACCACAGAAATATCTTGCTATAGAAGATGATTAGCTTAGACAACGGCTCAACCATTTTGGGCTTTCTGGTTCTATGTAGTTGCAGTCGGTTTGAAGTTATATAGTTTTGAAGTTGCTTGGTTGATCGTGATTCATATAGATCATTTACCAATTTCTCTAATATAGCTTCCTATGACTTACAATAATCTTATTCCCTTTATGGATGACTGGTTGAAATTGCTATGATCCGGGGGGGGGGTCTTGAAGACCGATTCCTGGGTTAGGTTAAATGGGAAAGAAAGGAACAAAATCACTAAGATTGGTTCCACTTGTCTCTCTCTGGCAACGGAACTGCAATCTGGTCAGCTATTTCAATACTGACAGAGATTTAAATGATGTTAAGGCAAGAATGGAGAAAGAAACCGCCAAAGAAAAGCTGTATAAAGACCAGTCTCATGGTATCGATTGTTCCTGGATACATACATATATAGGAAGAGGTGTATTTAAACTAGTGTAAAACGAAGGTGGTTTATATATACACTTTCATTAGTATCTTTACTGTTAATATTTTAACAATCTAACCGTTGAATTTATTAGTTTAATTGTACTTGTTATACACGTAAATTCTCAAATCAATCCAATATCTTATTTGGATCCAAAACATTTTACCTAAGATAAATAATTAGATATTTCTAATTTACTCAAAACTTTATATGGATATACCTCTCAATATATATATGAATTTACATTTCATTTACAGAGAAGGTGGTGCAATGTGAGAAGTTTTATTCAGCTTTAGTGGGTCTTCATCCCTCATGATCCTAAACAATTTCTTGTTTCTATTGAACTAAGATAACAGTTTTCTCTTTTTATTACACGAGCTTACACTTGAAACACATGATTGATGATTCTAATAGTACACTTCTGAAGCATTTAACTGTTGACATGCAGAGAGACAGCTATTAAACTATGAGTGCTACATTGGAGAAATCCACTTCAAATGGCTCTGAGAAGTCTGAAACAACTGAAGAGCAACAGGCAAAGGTATATTCCGCCTATATGGTCTCCTTTCCCTATCCTAGTACCTCATAGATTATCATTTTGATCCATCATAGATCTTGAAAGGTGAAGCGAGCAAAAGCTACTTATATGTCGTAGAGAGTAAAGCTTTCTAACCTTTTGGTATTTGCAGATTAGTGAGATAAGAAAGTTGGTAGGACCATTGCCTGAGAAGTTGGCCATTTATTGTTCTGATGCAGCCATTTCTAGATACTTAAGGGCACGAAACTGGAATGTCAAGAAGGCAACTAAAATGCTAAAAGAGACCTTAAAATGGAGAGCAGAATATAAACCAGAAGAGATCCGCTGGGTATGCTTCAATTAATCTTCCTATAAGTAGTTTTGAATAGGGAATACCAAATGCATGTGGAATTTGGCCCATGCAGTCTGCTTGTAACAGGTTTTTCATATTATCTTGAAGTTGAGGGTGCTAGGCTATTGGCAATGATTGGTCTGATGATTTTTCTTAGCAGTTATATTCTTTTGCATTTAGTTTCGTGCATTCAGTATGGTATATTGAATTGGGAACTTAAGTTTATGGATTTAACCTTAAAGGGTAGCCTAAGTCCAATCTACTTATTACGATTGAACTCGTCATTTGGCAGGTCAGGTTGTTATTTTCTGTCTTGTTCAGGTCAAACCTTTTTCTTTTGAGATATGGTGTTTTTACATCATTGTTCTTTTTGTATGATATAGGAAGAGATTGCTCATGAAGGCGAGACAGGGAAGATCTACAGAGCAAATTATGCAGACAAGCATGGAAGAACAGTTCTTGTCATGAGACCTAGCTGCCAGGTTCCATCTGACTTCTTTTGCCTCTTGTGCAATTTGTAGATCTGGTGCCATACAAAATAGAATAAACTTTGAGTGAAAGGTGTCACAGCTCATTCTGATGATTACCCTACAACGGGGGTGGGGCCGTGGGGGTGAAGAAACAATAGATGAATACATAAGATAGATCCCAATGTAATAGTATATGATTTCTGGTCATGATGGTTCCCATATTTGTCCCAACAATAGGATTTTTCACCACCTCTAAAGCATTTAGTAAGTCCAAACAAAAGGTCAATGTAACGGTGTCTTACAGATTAGTAAGCATATTACTTTGCTGCACATTGATTAGTTTTGACAACTTAGTTAAGTTCATTCTGACTACAGAACACAAAATCAACTAAAGGCCAGATTAGGTATTTGGTTTATTGCATGGAAAATGCAATCTTAAATCTTCCACCAGACAAGGAACAGATGGTCTGGTTGATTGATTTCAATGGCTACAACTTGGGACATACATCAATGAAGGTGACACGGGAAACAGCTCATGTTTTACAAGACCATTATCCAGAGCGCCTAGGCGTGGCAATACTATACAACCCACCCAAGTTCTTTGAACCATTCTGGAAGGTAGCCCATTTTTACATTTTTTTCTGCCTTCTCTTTTGGTGTCCCAAAAATATGCATACCTGATTATACACGTGCACAGAGATTTGACAGTTTTGAAAAGATCCCTGTTAATATAGCTTTTGAACTTTTATACTTTGTGGTTTTCAGCCAATGCGAGTTTGAAACATTTTAGCACTCAGTTTTTTCTCTCTATATAAATTGCTTTTCATGTCCACATAAATATGAAATTATTCCTTCCATTTAGATCCAGCTCTATGCAAGCCATTTTTTTGGTGGCTCTTTGCAAAACCGTATCTTTTTCTTTACAGATTATGTGTTGCCTCAAGATAGCTAGACGGTGTTCGATGCCAGTTTTGTTTTGTTATTGTAAGGATATCTTATTATGCTGGGAATCTGTCTCTTGACAGGTGGTCAAACCATTTCTAGAACCGAAGACTCAGAAGAAAGTCAAATTTGTTTACTCTGATGATCCCAGTAGCAAGAAAATAATGGAAGACCTTTTTGATATGGAGAAACTGGAATCTGCATTTGGTGGAAATGATGATTCAGGTTTTAACATCAGTAATTATGCTGAGAGAATGCGGGAAGATGACAAGAGGATGCCTGCGTTTTGGACAAGGGGAAATCCTCAATCAGCAGCTCGGCTGCAACCGATGCCAACCCTTTCTATTGTTTTGAATTCCATCAATTTGAACTCAGATTCTAATGGTTCTGACAATGGAAAAGTAGACAGCTCCCCTAGTCATGTTTCCGACTCTGAAACCCTCTCTCCCAATGGATGTCTCTTGGTTAACGTGGGAAGTGATAATGACACCAGGGAAATTCACTAGAGATAGAAGAGATTTGAAGCCCGACCCTGCCTCGGGTTAGGTAATAAGGTATACAATGATCTGACCATATGCAGCTGTGCCAACTGTTTTGCTGTTTTAGTTAGAAACATTAAGACAAGTAAAGCTTCTCACAATTTGCATCGATGCCGTTCTGAACTTATGTTGAATGAAATTTTCAATTCAATTAATGTTCTTTTTCCCTTGACAAGTGCTTACTCATTTCATCCTTGTCAAGTTCAGTCTTCTATCTTCAATAATATTTTAAACCGCTTCTCTGTGAAAAGTTCTAACTATTTCATCCAAAATCGATATCATGTGTTCCAAATAAAAGACAAAAATTCTAACTATTTCTATAATGGGTTTATAATAGGCACCCCCAAGAGATTGTTCTAAGGGAAAAAAGGGACATTCCCATCCCATATATTCTCAATACAAAGACGAAGGGAAGTTGCTATATCTGTATATTAGTTACAGGGTTTGATTGTTCAATATCTTTGTTCAGCATACGACTGGAAGATTACTGCAACCATGTGGAAAATCAACTGTGACGGAGGCTAATCTTCTGAGCTATTGGTCTGACACCAGCGTGATTGTACATGTGAATCGAAATGCAAATGCAAACAGATTCTCCTGGGAAAAAAAAACACTAGTGTGAAATTATTTCAGTTGGCAAGGGAGTGCTAATATACAGAAAAAACAAAAGCCAGAATTTGATGTTACCAATACTCTGGAAAAAGAAATGTCAATGGAGCATCTCATCTAGTTTCTGCCTGTACTGAGCCAACGTCTCAAAAAATTGCAAATGGCAGGAAAAATTAGTTTTCTCAATTAATATTTAATAATTTTAGATAAAGGAATCAGAATTAAGTCCTCAAACAAGATACTGCAACTTTTCTCATTTATCTCGAGACCTACTGTATGAAAGATATGATGGAGTATAAATATATCACATGATGGAAACACTTGTACAACCGGTTTAAACAGCTAAAAGATTTTTCAAAAGAACTAAGCAGGCTTCTATCATACTGCAATTTCATGCTTCTTGAAGCAAAAGAATGCATTTAGAATCAGTAGAGTGAATGGATTTACCCACAGGTCTGTAACCGATCGATGATAATGCTGAAAGGAAGTTGCATACCGTAGTATAAGTATAAACTCCATCCTCTGTTGGCGCTATGGGACTTCCCCTCCTTAAAAATGTAAAGCATGGGTATCCCAGTCGATTGTTCTAACTGATAACCTGTCCCGTTAAGAATACAGAAGAAATGTGGCCTTAAACAAGAGCACCATGAAAACTGAAACCATCATGAATGGAACAAAGAAATAGACTCGTACCTCCTGTGTGGTTAATTTGTCAAGATACATAATAATAGACCTTAATGAGTTCCCATGCGCAGCAATCATTATATTCTTTCCAGATATAAGTTGGGTTCAATCTGTGCATAGCATGTATTGGTTGAGGCTCCAAATAAGTGGTTTGTCTAAGGCCTAACAGATTGACAAATTGTGTAACACCCCCAACCCGTATTAAAAACCGAATATGAGTCCTAGGGGTCACATTGACTTTTCAAAACATTTACTTGTATAAAATAGTGAGTAATTTAAAACTTTTATGACATATAACTTATTCAAAACATTTACAAAACTATTCAGAGCTTATACAATATATTCTTTTGAATACATGCCAACTAGAACTTTATATATAAAAATAAATATTATTCACCTCTCTTCTGATCTGACTTTCAGTAAGGAGAACTGGTCTGTCTTGTTCCACATTGCTCTTCACTCTTCTTGAAACCGACGTGTAAATCACTTACACGCTAAGTCTATGACTTAGTGAGGCAAATAAACATATAATGTAAACTATAACTTGTAATCATGCATGAACAATTACTGCTACCATAGCATACCCAAAAATATATCTGTTCATCCATCAAATCCATACATTCATATAATTATCTTCATTCCTATCATTATCATTTTATTATCATTCATATTTCTATTCTCTTGTTTCTATGATTTATTATGTTCATATCATATATCTTATAATATATACAATAATCACTAACACACAGATATCATGTCATATAATTCATATCCCAAAACATACATATCCCATACATTGTATTCAATATCATCTCTTATTAGCCCATGTACACATGTAAGAACTGTAAATATGTGAGTCTATTGAGGTTGTGGACTATGCTGTCACCACAGCTCGTATAATTCCCACTAGGAACGCGTAGAATTTGTCCCGAAGGACCACGTAGATGTCCCAAAGGACTACATATAACACATATGTCCCGAAGGACCGCGTAGACCCTCAACTCTTGGCATGCCAACTATACCTCTAGCTCTCAATACACATAACATGGACATTTTCACTTATCTCATTTCACTATACATTTTCATATCACATGTTCATATAAGCTCATAGCTTCTTTCACGTATACATGTAGACATATGGCTTCTTTTCATGTAATTCATATCACTTTTCATATAATTCACATGTTCACATATCTCTTTTCATATTCTCATAGGATCACATAGCTCATATATACATCACATAGCACATACTTCTTATAGACATATAAAAACATAGATCCTCATCACATAACTTATATTACATGTTCATATAATCATTTATATCTATACCACATAGCTTTTATCACTTTCTCTTGTCATTCATAAGTCATTATTATTTACATAGTTTATGATCATATAACTTATATCACAGAGTCACATCATCACATAAATCATATCACATAGAAAAGAACATAACAATACATATTCACATACTTATTTTCATGCATTCATAAAATCAGAACATGAAAATAGACTCATCGCAAGTCTAATTTCCATATAATCATATACTATAATCATATGCACTCACCTTGGCCTCACTAAGTTCCAATCCACTTTTATGATTTTCTTTCTTTCGATCGAATCTTAACTTGATAATCGTTCTGGAACATGTTCGTGCTCGATATCTATATAATCATACATTGATACATATTCGTATCCAATTGATATATTCTAATCTATCATTTTTTAGACCAAAAGAAATGTCTAGTTCAATTTCCCCTTGAAGTGCATCGATGCATTCTACAGTGCATCGATGCATTCTTTAACATGTGCATCGATGCATGGGTATCGATGCACTACCCATGCATCGATACACAAATCACCTTCGATGTTTTCATTTTAAGGGGATGCATCGATGCACTCCTTATGCATCGATGTACTAATTGCATTCGATATTTCTTCTTTAAAGAGAGCATCGATACACATTGAATGTGCATCGATACACCTTGCCCAAAATTTGCATTTTAAGCCCGAAAATCATCAATTCTTCATTCAATTATTCTATTTTAAGCCTCTATTATGTTATTAAATTCAACTACCATTACTTAAACTAACTTATATCCATGTAAACCATCTTTATCTTCCATATCTCATCATGATTCTTAAAATTTAAGAATCTTACTAAACTTTCAACTTTGTTATTAATCATTTCTAACTTCATATATCTCTTATTCTTAGTGATGACAAGTCAAATTCCTTCTCAAATTTCACTTATTAACTCTTTTCCAGAAATTCATCTAAAAACTCATTTTCTTTAATCTCTTCTATATCTTTCATATTGTTGTTTTAGAATAAATTAAGCTTTCCTTAAGCTTAATTATCATCTAATGATCATAACCCAACCTTAAAATCAATAATTAATCAACAAACAAAGAAACTCACCTTTGAGTCAAGCCTTCACGTATGAAGAAGGAAGAAGAGAAGAGAAGAGAACTTTGGAACCTTTTCTCTCTTCCCACGTGGTTTCCTTATCTTATAAGGAAAATAAAAAAAATCTTCCTTGTCAAATGACCCTTTTGCCCTTCAATTCATCTAATAATTACTAACAACTTTTATGATTTATTTCTAAATAAATCATTGAACTAATCCATTGTTCTACTCTAGTCACCAAATTCTGAAACTTTTCAATTTGATCACTAACCCGGTATTGAGGATATTACAAATCTCCCCTCCTTTAAAGAAAATTCGTCCTCGAATTTTCACTGAACATATCAATAAGAACATATCTTCTAATGTTCTCATGCTACCTCCTTTACTCAATATTTTCTTCATTTATTTCTTCAACTATCTTCTTTTTCCTTTATACTACTGTCACGTATCATTTAAGCAACAACCAGTAACTTCAATCTATTTATGTCTTTTCTCTCCTTCGATTCTGCATTTTCCTTTGACCTTTCTAAAATCCATATAATGTCACTCATTACATAGACAGTAACATCCATTTTCATCACTCAACATCATAAATCCATCTCTAACTACCTTATAATTATAACCAAATTCGTTTTCCATCATCATTTAACCAAGAACACGACCTTAAATCTTCTTTAAATATGATTCAACATACACTTTAAAAAATCTTTTCACATTACCTTGCACACTTTTCTTACTTCTATATCAAAATTATCATCTACACTTCCATATAACCTTTATCGTATCTGATCCTTTAATTCAATCCCTTTCATTTCTTTATTCCATTATTCCTTTATTTATTCCTTATACACAAAGCATATCTTTCCTTTCATGTTCACATACTCTTGTCTTATCATCTATACTCATCTCTATATACCAATCTTCATTACATCCTTATAACTTTGATAACACATTTCTTATACAGAACTTCATTCTTTATCATTTCTTATACTTGTATTTTTCTTCCTTAAGGTTTCATGCAAATATTTATCTCTTTTTCTACATCATAGTTATCTGATCAGAATACACAACTATATTCAGATTCACATCATAATTAATTGACTCAACTTTATCTTTTCCTCCAATCTTATAACTCTATCACTTTTACTCTGATATCTAGTCAATAACATCTGTTCAATCTAGGGCACAAGCCCTAGTCAACCAATCATATACATCCTTTCCAATCAAAATTATCTCAAAATTAGTTTATTTAACTTATCAATTTCACCTCTATTCTCATACATCATGTAATTTCCGTTACTCAACTCAACATTCTGAC